AATAGTTAAACGACGGTCAGATCGGATCAGATTGGTGATTTTTTCAATATTTTTATCCGTTTTTGACGTGGAAGGGCGTCCCGGGCGTACGTCATCTTCAACGTCTTTTTGGCCGTCTTGGGAACGCTTAAACCACTAAAAAACCGTGATAAAGAATCATTGACATTGACTTCACGCTACACAGTCGGTCGTACGACTTACGCGCATGCGTACTTCGTCTGTAGTAGCATCGGCCTCGTTATTTTATAGTCACACCTCGTATATCGCTTATGGGCGTTGGTTTCACAAGAGAATAACAACTTTATGTTATGACATCCAGTTATTTTCAAAAGCAACGTAGAATGACTAATAAAAAGCAACAAAAAACGGGCCGACATATACACCTTTGCAAAGAATATTTATAACGATTCATTCTCCTTATTTTTTATTTTGATGTCACAAATTAATTGTATGTAGAAGTTCCATATAAACCAGCATTTTCAAAAATCTTCTTAAGTGTCAAGTCGTCACCTTTTGACAATAAAACTACTGGCAATACTTAAGCTGGATATTGTAAATTCCAGTAATGTGCCTTTGTTATTTACAACTTCTAGCCTTACCTTACGAGGGCACAATCTTGATTTGTGAGTGGACATGACGAGCCAATATTGTTTGTTGTTTCTGGAACAACAGAGACATTCGACCCTCTAAGTTGGCTGTCTAGATTTGTGCATATTTACCACCAACATTTTTTAGGTTAACTCCGCTTGATATCAAGGTCACCATCGGCCAGTTCGACAGGTGTTTCCCGGACGTCTCCTCGACGAATATGAGCGTGGAGAAAATCGTCGTACATCCAGATTTCAGCCCGGCGGACAGAGCTCATGACATAGCTCTTTTGAAGTTCAGTACACCAGTCAAGATCGAGAGAAGGGTATCACCGATCTGTTTGGCTACCCCAAGTAAGTTAATATTTTATTTTCCTGGATGTGTCAATTTCCCGATTGTTTTCTATTAATCAATATGGGAGATATTTCCTCAACAATGGGATACGACCAGATGGGAGATTCCAGTTTCTTCAAAATTGTATTCATATTCCAAAACCTCAAAAATTTGTTTCCAGACACTAAATACTTAGGACAGGTGGCAACAGTGTCTGCTTGGTTTGAAACAGAAACAGAGCAGGGCCCAGCGTCGGCGTCATGCAGGCCCAGAAAATTAGGACTACCAGTGCTGGGCAAAGCAGAATGTATAAACTCAGTAGAAGATCCCCAGATAGTGAGCAACGATAAGGGTTGCATTGGTGTAGTTGGATTACCCAGCCCCATCTGTAGAGTAAGTCGTTATTGTTCCTAGTCTGTGAAGGTACTATTTCTCAAACTTTTTTTAGGTCGACAGTGGCGGTCCTGTAATGTTTCGAACTCGTCAAGGGGTATACGAGTTAGTGGGTATGTAAATTTCGGTAAACTATGAAGCTAACGAGGCGTTCGTGACGTTTTTTTTCTTGTTTTAGGCGTTCTTACTGATAGAAACGAGTGTAACCTGAAGCCTGGAGTAGCCCTATACACCTACATTAATGACCATTTACCCTGGATTACTCAAAATACAAAAGACGCCTGCTACTGCTTTAAAACATAAATTCGATTATATCTTGTTATATTCCATACGATTGTAAAACTTAAATTTAATAAATATTTCTCATTAGATATTTGTATTAAAGGAAAAAACGTGGTCCCTTTTTTTATATCAAACATACTCTTGTAATAAAAATAAAATGACGATGAATAATACAGGTATACCTCCTATAATGATTCGCGTTGTTCTACAATAGCTCCAAAAACCTATTAACACAATATAAAAATATATCGGACGCAATACAACGCGCAACGGTAGGTAAGCATAGAATTATAAGTCGGTGTAATTTATATTAGCTGAGCATGAGCCATCTAGTGTTAAAACATCGAATTACCTTAACCTTACCTAATCCAAAGAAATTTGCAGATAACTGCAAGATTGGGCAACTCGAGTGGAAAAAAAATCTGTAAACATTTACGACAATCGAATACGCCAACAGGTGTATTTGATTTGCCCGAATTGATTAATGTTACTTTATCGAACAGAATAGCTAAAATCAAATGAATGAAATACAACTATTAAAGGATTTACGAAAATTAAAAGTCATAGTAATCTAGACATACCATTCTCTCTCTCTAAAACCACAAGAGTAACAAAGACAGATCAATTAATCTGAGTTTCTTATAAAATTTCGTAAACCCCCATGTCTTGGTGTCAAACTGTCAAACAACTGTCACTTGTCCTTGTCCATATGTTTTAACATAACCAAGAAAACTGTATAATAAATAAAATAACAATAAAAATGCCTGAACACGAGGACTTATCAGATGTCATAAAATTGGTTAGCGACATAAGACATAAGTGAGTTTTCAACCTTCTAAATCAAAAGAAATACATAAACCTACTTTTAGGAAGTTATTCAATTCCTACGATATTGCTTTGAGGTCTGAGGAGCTCTTGGAGAAATTAATCTCTCATGGACAGTGGAGAAGTGCTAGGTAATTACTTAAAGTTGTGATAAATGTATGCCTTATACGAGATTTTTAGGGAACTTATGGCGCTGGTAAAAATTTGGATAAAATACATTACGGAAAATCTTCCACAAGAGGCTACTGCTGTGAACATAATGAGGCATGTTTTAAAAATTATTAGGGAAGAGTACGAAGCTGCTTCAAAGGTACACTAAACTCAGTTTTGTTAACCCTTTCGCTACGGCTACAATATAATTTTTTCTGCTTTAAAAATACTATTGGGTTATATATGTCCCAAGGAAATTTTAAAAAACACTGCAAGCATACCAATGCATTATAAATCCCTATTCAAACTGTTCCAACCGTGCTGCTAGTACTAGGTATATATTCGCGTACACATCAGTCCACCTTATTAACACCAGTCTTAAAAGATAAAAAGCTAAAACCAAGCTAAAAAGAGAATATTGAATAAACTTGTTCTGAGGGCCTATAAAAGTATTATAGTATTTTCAAAAAAAACTTCTACCGTATTTTTGAAACCTAAAATGCCGTGGGACATATATGCCCTTTAGTGGCGAAAGGGTTAAATATTTCTTATGTATTTATATTTCAGAAAAAAGGAGAGGGTCAGTCGTTGCATCAGCTGGTAACCGCTAACCCGAATAATATATTAGATTATTCAGAATCTTTGGGTAACCTTAAATCTAGCTTATTGGATCACTTAACCGAGTATAAAGTCGAAGTAGAATCGAGGTATTTATTATTATCTTTATAAAAAAATTGGCACCTTAAAGCAGGGTATGACGATCATAAATTGTATTAATATTTTTCAGTACTGACAACATAGCAGCACAAGCCCTGGAACACATTCATACAAATGAAATAATACTTACAGTTGGAAAATCTAACACTGTGGAGAGATTTCTAAAGTCTGCTGCTATGAAGAGGGACTTTAGTGTTATCGTAGTTGAAGGAGCACCTTTTTATTATGTAATTTAATAAAAACTGCTCTAATAACATATTTAGTCACCGAATTATCTTTTTTTTAGGGCCATGCAATGGCAGCAAGTCTAGCGAAAAGCAACATAAAGACGACGGTAATCCCCGATACTGCAGTCTTTGCCATGATGTCTCGAGTTAATAAAGTCATCATTGGAACTCATACAGTTTTGGCGAATGGTGGCTTGCGTGCGGCAAGTGGTATTTACGCTGTTGCCTTAGCTGCTAAGCATTATTCTGTCCCAGTAAGTAATTGATTTTGAAAACTTTGAAATCGTTGAGTTATTTTACACAAACACTCAGTTTTGCTGTTAGTTAACTGTAAACTTTATTTGAATTTATAAACAGGTAATGGTGCTGTCAAATATGTACAAATTTACACCGATCTATGTCGCTTCACATGACCGCAGCGCATTTAACGTTTGTGCGTCTCCTGCCGATGTCATACCTTATTCTAGTGGACAATTACTGAATAAAATCGAAGTTTATAATCCCGTATTTGATTATGTTCCCCCTGAACTCGTCACTCTCTTCATATCTCATCAGTAGGTATATTAAATGCAATATTTCCTGTGATTAATACTTTTTTTTTAGGGGAGGAAACGCTCCATCTTATGTATACCGATTATTGTCTGAACTGTACCATCAAGACGATTACGATATATAAATTATGAATTTTAGGCCATAACTTTAAAGATTGTATAAATATATTCAAGTTGGTAAATTATATGAATTAAATTTTTCTACAATTCTTTTATTTCAAAATTGTTTACAATTATCAGTGATTAGAACAGCTAATAACCAATTAAATTTATGTTCATGAAACCTATGGCATTGCATATAATATAGAACTTTACGAGTTTACTAAATATTAATACATAAATGGTGTTTTATCATTTATTAAGTAGTACAAAATATAATTAAATACAATAATTACATACATAGATTATATAGGCTTAATTTTAAAATGTAGTCCAATTAGAGAAAACACCAAACACTTTAAATCTTGCACGAGGTAGTAGAAACATCTCAAACCTTCAGGATCTTTGGACTGGCTAACGTCTACCAGGGAACCTGTTTTCGAGGTGGTGAACGATATATGTTCGTCCTTGATTACGATCTCCAACTCCTGCCTCCCGATACGGTCAGGAGGCGGCCACAGCGAGTCGTCCTCTTGCATTATTTCGGAATCTATAATGATACGCTTCAGTTCCTCCATGACACACTGGTGGACGTACACTTCCTTCCTGATCATCGTGTCATTCTTGTAATTTGAATTGTTAGCATATCGCAACTTGCCGTCTGGTCGGAATTCGAATTCCAAAAATTCGTGGCCAAACTTTCCTTTATGGCCCACGTAGTAACGTATGTAAAAATCGGCGCACATGCTTAAGCCGCTTCTTGAATAAAAACTGATGATATACTATATTCAGTTTTACAATTTATGACATGTCACAGAAATGGCTAAAATAATTTCCAAACTGTTAGCTTTATAACTTGCCACACATTCTATTAATCCCGTTAGTCAGAAATAAATATAAAATTATTGTCAAACATTCAACAAATTACTGTCAAATGTCAAATATAATAGATGCCTTCCGACTTCTTTTTCTTCTTCTTTTGGTTTCTACTAATGTCTCGGGAGCTTTCCATTTATTTACTCCGGAATAGCACAATGACGGTGCGATTCTTAAACAAAATCAAAATTAAAGTCAAATATTTTTAAATTATGTAATATTCGGTAAATTCTGTGGAACCGCTTTTACAAAATAAGCAGTATAATTCAAGTGTTCATCAAATGCTTCAGACTTGGAGACCGATGGAAACAATAAAATCGTGGTATGAATACTTGGCTTCCATCCCTGACTATGACATATACAGACATGTCAGAAACCGTAACGAGGGTGGTGTTGCACTCATAGTAAAGAAGTGCATCGACCACTATCCGCTGCAGCGGCTCCAAACTCAAAACACAGAGGCCGTGGCGATAGCGGTGAGATCGCTACGGCATGGAGACGTTGCGGTGGTGTCCTGTTACCACCCACCCAGACTACCACTACTTGACAATGACTTAGACAAAATCCTTTCCTGGCCCCAGACAATTGCCATCGGGGACTTCAACGCGAAGTCCCCCATATGGCACAGCGGGACGACGACCACAAGAGGTCGCGTCCTGCTGAATTACCAAGACAGACACGACGACTTGACTATACTCGGACCGACAGAA